GCAGGGTACTATAGGAATTTTGTCCCGCACTTTGCGGATAGGTCTCGGTGTCTGTATGAAATTGTGAACTACTGCACGAAGAACAAGGTTGTGGAACTCGGAAATCAGTGGGGCAAGGAGGAAGAGCTGGCCTTCAATGACCTGAAGCAGTGGATAGCCAGTCTCCCCTTGTTGGCCTACCCAGATTTCTCGAGACCGTTTCAGCTCATGACCGACGCCAGCGATGTGGCGATAGGGGCTGTGGTGGAGCAGGACGGAAGGCCTTTAGCCTTCTTCAGCCAGTCTCTGACCCCTACCCAGAAAGTCTGGCCGGTGTATGAGCGGGAAGCCTATGCTATCTTCAAGGCATTGGAACGGTTCAGACCGTTGCTCTGGGGTTACCATTTGGAGTTGGTCGTCTTTTCGGATCACAAGCCTTCGGAATGGATCCAGACGGCTACGACGGCGAAAGTGCAACGCTGGCTCATTAGTATGTCCCAGTTTAAATTTAAGATATTTTACAAGAAGGGTAAGCACAACGTCGTAGCTGATGCCTTGTCCCGGATAACTACATCCGACGACAAAGTGGCAGAGCCAGATCTTGGAGCACTCCAGCGTGAACTGCAAGGTACACCTGCCCTGGTGGCGGCCAAGTTATTGACTGAAGGCAGGGAGGCCGATGCGATGGAGAAGGACAATTTTGCCCCTGCTTGTGTTCTCACCCTCTGTGAGAAATGGTCAACAGCTGATTTGGTACGTGAGCAAGAGTTGGATCCTGCTCTTCGAGTGGTGAGAGACAGGGTCCGGACAGGAGAGCCTTCAGCGAAGGATGAGCTCAAGGATCTGGAGTATCGGCCTTATCGGAGAGTTTGGCTAACTCTACGGGTTCATGATTCTGGTCTGTTGGTACGAAGAGTGCAGATTAATGAAGAAGCGACTTCGAGGTTTGTTCCAGTGGTCCCCGAAGGTCTCCGACGCCAAGCATTAGATCGGTTTCATGAGGAGGCGGGACACTTTCGACGAGAGCACATGGTGGCAAGGTTGAGACGTACAGCTTACTGGCC